GAGATGTGACCTGCTGTGGTCATTTCCCATTGCCCGCGGGCATGACTGCTTGCTTAAATCTGAAGATTTCTTTGACCTTACGAACATGAGTCACCTGTGCGGTCACCCGTTCACTGTCAAACGGGAACGTAGGCGCCTAGACCATCGGAGGTTTTCTTTATGACAGCGAGTAGTTCGACCGTGGAACTTATTTCCAAGTGAAATATTGCCATTTGACACCATGGTTGAATTCAAAGGCGGTTTGATTGTTTTATTTTTGGCAAACGACGACTCTCATGCAGGCCTATCTATTGCCAGCCATGACTTTTATTTCGTGGTTTAGTCTTCGAACTGCTGCAACTAGTCGACCAATGCCATGCGCGCCCTGCTCAGATACAAAACTGCATTAAGGAGAATGCTTTACTTGTCGTGAGATTCGCATGCTTTGTCTGTGCCTCGGGTATTGTGTATCGGGTCCATTTCTGTTCTCCGAACTGATGGTCGGAGTGTGGTGACGGGATTGTGTTGCCTGGTTTACCACAAATGTTCATGGAAGGGCACATGGCCGAGTAAGCCCATACGATGACTGAGCGACCGATAGCGGCGTGAGCAATTAGGGGGAGTGCGACAGATGCAGTTTGGCACTCACGGCACTAGTCTGCCAGTCTCACTGCGACGGACTCACAAGTTGCCGACTAGGCCGATTCGTTATATATAGTTTCTGGGGTACTTTGAGCAGGATAGACAAGTTCGTCTCCACTCTGCACTGCTGTTGATGGAACATTGGCGGTTGGTGGCTGGACGTTGTGAGTGTTCCCACCGGTTGTGGGAGTTAGGATACTGATGGTGGAGGCAGTGGTCATCGTGATCCTTATCGTGGGCATCGTGGGGTTGCGGTAGGGGTGAACGCGCTCACGTTTTTGAAGACGGTAAGTGGAGTTTCCGCGTAGTCTTGCGTTGGGTGCGGAGATGTCCGACTAAGCTGATCCGTGCATGTACTGGCCGTTGACAGCGTGGTCACGATGGGAGACATCGGATGTTGCACTTGTTGGTCCTCGGCACGTGTGACCTGCAAACAGCTCCTTTGGCTCTGGCAAAAGCGATCCCGTTGAATTTATAGATAACCGCTCCCACCGTGCTGTCCACATTCAGGATGGCCAATTCCGGGCGAGATCAGCCAAGCTCTACAGATTTATTCACAACCTCTTGAGGGAGGTCCATAGGGGGCTTATAGCGCTGCTTTCGCCCTCTTCGGGGGTTTCGGCAACAGCGATCCCGTAGGCGGTCCTGGTCGTTCTCTTACTAAAGCCCATGACCCATAATGGAGAACGGTATCCGTCTAGTGTGACAGGGCAGACCTATTTGGGGGGAGTACTACTTTACTCCTCAGTATAATTTAGTATATATGAGGGATAGAGGCAGAGCCTTTGAAGACCCTATTTACAGATAGGCGTATGAAAAAAATCATGCAGACATTTTCATAGCAGTTATGCCAGTCATTGATATCATGTAAATGTTTGACCATCAAGCATAAATATCTAGTCTTCTTTTGAAAGTCTCGACGTTTTCCGCTAAGACAACGGAGTTCGGCAATTTGTTCCATCCTCAACCAGCCGGTGGGAGAAGAATTCGGCCCGCAAATCGAGTTTGGCACATTTCGTCTTTAATTTGTATTGGTTCTCTCGGAGATTTATCTTCCGCGCCAGTTCGAAGAAATCGTCAAACTGAAGAGCACAGTCCAGCCCTCGGACGATCCTGAAGGCCATGGTCATGTCCCCTCCGTACTATCTATAAGAGAGAGGAAATATTGTTAGCTTCTCCAACCGTCTCTCATAAGGTAAGCCACTTAATCCGCCGATTAGCTTGGTCGCTCTTCGTTGTACGTTCTCCAGTAGGGTGTAATCTTTTTTCGTCTAGGGACACCATGCCTGAACACAATATTCCAACATTGGTCGAACGTATGCGCCAAAGGGGAGGCGCTGTAAAAAGTACCTTAAATACAGTTGGGTTCACGACATTTGTGTGCAGACAGTGGCTCGCAGACTGCTTGACATGCGGTCAAGGCCAAAACGCAAGACAAAACATTCTCACTCTTCCCCCTCCTCCTCCCATACAGACAGCTAGGATGAGTCCGTCCACTCTGGCGGCATAGAATGTTCGTTACCTTGTAGATAATCCTAGGAGCAACCAGCCGGAATAAAGGACGGCGCTAGTCGCTCAGGAACCGACACGCTACAAGGCGGACATCGTTGTACTCAGTGAGACACGGTGCTCCGAACAAGGCCAACTGGAGGAGGTGGGTGCCGGCTACACCCTCTTCTAGAGTGGTCGCCTCAAGGTAGAGCAAAACGACACGAGTATCGCCTTTGCCATCCAGAACAACATCTTTGGGCGACTGTCCTATCTGCCACAGGACATCAACGATCGCCTAATGATCCTCTGTCTGTCTTCCCAGCGGCACTTTCGCCACCAGCATAGGTGTCTATACCTCCCAATAACCAGCTCTGACGTGGCAAGGAACAAATTTTACGGGGACATACACTCCCTCCTGGCGACTGTGCCGTAGACGGATAAGTTGATTGTCCCTGATGAGCTCAACGCCCTCGTCAGCATGCAGACTGCGGAGGAGTGCTGGGTTCATTTGGTCTCGTCGGCTCCAGAGGCAGTGGCTTGCTCCTCCCACGAATCTGCGCTGAACGGCATCTCATCCTGACCAACATCTCCTTTCGCCTACCGATGAGGGAAAAGGCCAACTGGATGCCCCCTCAACACTGGCAACCGCTGGACTATGTCCTCGTCCGAAGGCGAGACCAGCGGGACGTGATGGTGACAAAGGCGATCCGGGGTGCCGACGGATGGCAGAGCATGGCCTTGTCATCTCCAAGACGTGGACTTTTGCTGATAGAAGCGAACAGGTGAGTTCCAGATAGCGGTTCAGAAGATGAAGATGCGATCGCTGGAACAAGAAATTTATTGGCCTGACGTTTCGGATTCTCACTCGAATCCATCATCAGAGACATTCGCAGATAAAGGTGATGGTGGCACCATGATTGCAGTATTTATAGCACGTGGCTGCCGTGGACTGTATGCGCACTGCAATTAACAGCTCTCGCAATCACCGCTGGGGTCGTAATTGATGCGGTGGTGGCTTGTCGGTCCGAGTCCGAGTCGTTAATTGCCGTGATTTCGTCATCCGTGCTGGATGCTGGTGTGACGATTGCTCGGCAAACTGGCTCAATGTCACCGTGAGGATTGCTCGTCCGCGCCCTCCCCACGTGACTGATTCTCCTTCCCAGGGAAAATCGCAGCACAGAATATGGTACCGGGAGGTCTTTGCTTGTTGAGGGATTACGAGCCTAAGAACCATGACTCGAGCAGCTCGTGGCTCACGCGGTTTTCACCCCTTGCGAGGATTTCGGCCTCTTGAAATTCGAAAATATGGCCGGGTCCCGTCGACTGTGTCGCCACCTGAGAGCTAGCGTCTCCTCGCCTCATTGCTGCTGCGTGTTCAAAAATTCACGTACGGAGTAATCCCCCAGTGTCTCCGACATAATTGCTTTGTTCGCAACTACACCAGATCCGGTAAACGAGTCCAGACGTTTCCTGCCGTAGCAGCGGGTCTTTTTGCCTCATGACTTGGCGCCTAATGGTTGCTTCCGGCCTGTGTGCAACCCCAACTCCAAGTGGAGTTAGAAGACGACTGACGGCTTCCGAGACGTTCTTCACGTACGTAAGGCCCCGCCAAAATTTGGGGCCGACTAGATTTGGTCTCTGGTGTCCTTTTCGTATGCACTGGTTGACAAAGTTGCGCGGGTAACCATTGGCTCTCATTACCCGTCGAAGATATTGTAATTCAGCAACCTTGTCTTCCATTTCACTGCAGTGCGTCTCAACGCGCCGGCATAGCGCCCTTACGCAACTGCGTTTGTGACTGATCGGGTGGTTGTTATTGAAGTTCAATATTTGCGTCGTATTTGTCGCTTTCCTGAACACTTTGATTTTTAGGCCACCCCAATCCTTGCGGCAGACGAGGACATCCAGGAAGGCCAGCTGATTGTTTTCCTCCTCCTTCATCGTAAATTAAATGTCCGGGAAGACGGCGTTGAGACGTTCTTAGAATGTCAGCACCTGATCCCGTTCGATGGTGACGAAGGTGTCATCCACATACCGTCGGGCTTGGCAGGAGGCCTCAAGATATGCGCCCCCCTGATAAGCTGAATATTGTTTTTTGTCTTTGCCTGCTCACCATCTCCGTCGCCGCCGCCGCCGCCGATGAGAACGCCTCTGTTGAGGACCGATGGTGTTAACTAAGGGACACGGTTCAGTCAATCCCTCTGGCTGTCCTCGGCTGCTCACGCTGTCAACATCATGATTAGTTCAACGACAGAGCACCGCCATTAGCAATCTGCTCGCCGGGAAGAACAGCCTGCACTAAACTTACTTCAACCGTCCTACCACCGACAGCAAACCAGTCTTCTACTGTAGTCACCGCCTTGTGCAGCAGCGGTTGCGGGAGATGTAGGAGGCCGGGACGACTTGCGAAGTCGTGGAGATCCAAAGAAACGCGGACTGCAACGAATGGAAGAACTTCATCGCTGCGATTCAGGCTGTGTACGGTCCCACAGCCAAAGGAATCGCTCCTTTTCTCAGCGCCAACGGAACCACCCGACTCATTGAGAAGACGCAAATCTTGCAGCAATGCACTGAACACTTCAGAGACGTCCTCAGCTGTCCCCCTGCCATCTCCGACACCGCCATCGCCCGTCTGCCTCAATTGGAGACCAACGCCGATTTCGACATCTCGTTCCCTTTCCACGAAACCATCAAGGTCGTACAGTAGCCCTCCAGCCGGAATGCGTCCGGATCAGGCGCGATTCCTGCCGCGATCTGCAAGCACGGCGGCCCCGGCTTATGGATTATCTGGCAACACTCTTTCAGGAGATTTGGCGTTAAGGAGAAGTGCCTCAGGACTTCGAGGACGCCACAATCGTCCATCTCTATGAGCGGGAAGGGGCCGTCAAATGTGCGACAACCACCCAGGAATCTCCCTGCTTAACATCACCGAAAAAATCTTCGTTCGCACTCTTCTTAATCGTCTGAACAACCATCTGGACAAAGGACTCCTGCCTGAAACCCAGAGCTGCTTCCGCCGTCATCGCGGAACCACCGACATAAACTTCATCGTCCGCCAACTGCAAAAAAGTTGTCAGGAGATGCGGGTCCACCTCTACTCCAACTCCGTGGATCTCACGAAAGCCTTCGATACGCTGAATTGCGAGGGACTGCGGAAAATCATGGAGAAGTTCGGCTGTCCCGAGCCGTTCACTCCGATAGTGGGTCAGCTCCATGATGGAATGACAGTGTGTGTCACGGATGATGGAGTCGTCTCAGAGGTATTTGCAGTAACTAATGGAGTGGAGCAGGGCTGCGCACTCGCACCTACACTCTTCAGTCTCATGTTTTCTGCCATGCTAATGGACGCCTATCGCAAAGAACGCTCCAGGATCTCGTCGCCTACAGGACGGACGGTCAGCGGTGAATGTACTTCCAGGCTCATGCATCCACAACATTCATCCATGAACTTCTCTTCGCCGACAACTGCGCTGTCAACGCCGCCTCTGAAGGGGACATGCAAAGGAGCATGGGCCTCTTTGCCGCTGCATGCGACAGCTTTGGACCAATCATCAACGCGGTGGCTATGCATCAACTGCCATTCGACGCTACCTACGTCGCACCCCAAATCAACGTGGACGGAGCCCAGCTGCGAGCCGTGGACAACTTTACCTACCTGAGCAGTACCCCCTCCAGCAACACCAAAATGGGAGATAAAATGTCCCACTGGAATTCCAAGACCAGCCAAACCTTTGGCCGCCTGCAAACCACCGTCTGTAATCGTCACGATCTTCACATCAGCGCCAAACTGAAGATGTACAAAGCGGTCATCCTACCGACGCTGCTGTATGGAGCGAAGGCTTGGACGGTGTATAAAAAGCAGGCACAACGATCCAACCACTTCCACCTCAGTTGTCTCCGATGGATATTGAAGCTGAGCAAGACGGGATCCCGGACACGGGCATACTAGAACGGACGGGAATCCTCAGCGTATACGCCCCGCTGAGACAACTGTAACTGTGATGGAGCGACCATCTGGTGCGCATGGACGAGGGGCTACTCAAAAGACTCTTCTTTTAAGATGTTGCCATGGGATCCCGCCGACATCGAGGTCAAGTCTGACGCTACAAGGATACCCTGAAGACCTACCTAAAGCGCCTACAAAACAGCGCGGCCAACTGGGAAAACCTTGCCCGGGACCGACCGCCCTGGAGGACGACAGTGAAAATCGGCGCAGCCATCTACGAGGATAAGCGCATCACCAAATCAACCATGAAGCTCGTAAATCTCAATTGCCCCAGCTCGCAATGCCAACACTCAACCGCCTCCGACCTGCTCACGATGTCATCAGACGTTCCGGGCACCAATTGGTCTCATTGGACATCTTCGTACCAATTGCAGCACCCGTATGTCATCACCCTGTGTCCCCCCGTCCACCTTTGCTTTGCCACCCATGCCGACGGTCAACATTGGACCCCCATAGCCATCCTCCTCCGTCACTTCAACATCTGCTGCGACGGCTCCTGCACCCACCGTCGCCTCATACCATCCTGACAAACCGACAAACGTCAACATTACCGCCGTCAACATTAGCAATGTGGACTCGGTTCAAGCCTGTCCTCATTGTGACCGCACCTTCATCTCACACCGGCCTGGTCGCTCACTTACGAATCCATCGCACAGAGACTAGCGAACCAGTGCCTGTAACACAAAAACACACTCGCCGCATCCGCCTTCACTGCCTACACGGTCCCACCACCTTCACGAACTGCATGGGTCTTCCAGGCCACATGTGTGTCCACGAGAGCGAAGGTCACCGCAGGCTCAAAACACCTAGTACATTCTGCACACCCACCAGGCCTAGCCCAACCCACACAGCGCTGCCCACCGCGCCCCGCATCAGCAGCTCCACCGCCGCCACCATCGCTAAAACTGGCCCTCCCACCACCGACGTATCCTGCGCAATCTGTCCATCAGCTTGATCGGTCACTTGCGAATCCATCGCACAGAGACTGGCGAACCAGTGCCTGGAACATCCACATGCACCCGACGCCTCCGCCTCTACTGCTTTCACTGCACCCGCACTTTCACTCACCGTAGGGGCATATCAGGACACATGTGCATTCATGATAACCTGCGTTAGATAACCGCCAGGTACACCACACAATCACATCTTTCCCTGAAAACACCCGCACCACAGAAGCCTCCAATTACCACCTCCCACGCAGATGGGAAATATGAGATTCGACTCCTTCTCCACGCAGCTCCTGTGCTGCATGTGTATACCGATTCTGAGACTACCACGGTGCGCCAAGCGCCGTGACTTGGAAAGGTGCCGACCGAAGCCCCAACTCAGTCCCCGAAGTTTGTCCAGTTGTGTGTGTGTCCGTTTGAAGTGGCCGACTAGTGAGCTGAGAGTCAGGCTGTCACAGCGCCTTATAAAGTGATGTGTGACACTGTCAAGCATGTTAGGGAAGTGTGTTTTTTATGTGCAGTGCCCGTCAGTTGTCCAGACAAATGCAGGACAACGTGGCGTTCCTCTGGGACTAAAGGTCTATAATCGTCTGAAATGCCAGGAACTGTAAACAATGACCCTCGCCGCCGTGTATGCGCTGGCAGTCCTCAGACACCTAATTCCCTGCTGGTAGATACGCTTGCGCTCCCGATGGGTAGATAGGTCATGAGCATGGTAACCCAGTAATCCTCGTCCTTGTGACACGTTTTGATGTTGTTGTTGCTGGTTAAAATTCTGGTCATTTGTTGTGTGGACCATGGAATATGGAGTGGAGCTTCAAGGTGCGGGATAGACCGTACCATTCATCTGAACCCTTCCCTGCCTCCAAAATTCCTGGCTATGCCTTGAAGAAGAAGATGGGCTCACTGGAACGGGTTTCTTTAGGTACTGACGATTCGAAGAGGTTGGTTGGCTCCCCATTGTCAAAACGTAAAATGCACTTAATCAACCAGAAATTTCAAGTGACATGCCGCGTCCGTCGACCTCATGCTGATCAATTCTTCTCTCCTCTCGGGGGATTGTTGACGGCGTTTTATCTGCGTACTTTGTAAGTCACCACTTCGTCGGGAAGAGGTGATCGAACCTTCCTCGGGCGGTCGGTCTGGTGGTTCTTCTTCCCTACCGGGTAGACTCGCTGTCGGCCTGTCTATGTATGGCCTTCTTAAGTCCAGTGTAGTTACTTGGTCCTGAGCTCCACGGACGTAATGACGTCGGGCTTTTAAGCTGTCGGAAAGTCCAGATGCCTGTTTGTTGAGTTGGCACCGGTGTACCAAGCCTCGAGTGTTAGTCGTTCTGCATTTGTGTTGCCCCGACCTAAGATGGTAGCTCTCTGGAGATCGAAAGTATGCCCATTTCCTCCAACGTGCGTTGCTAGTTGAGAGTTCGGATCTAGCCTCCGAGTCGCCGACTTGTGCTCCTGTAGGCAGATCTGCTAGTTTCGCCCAGTTCCCCCATCATAGTTGCGGTCGCCCTCATTGCACCTTATTTTTTAGACAACTGTTGAGGTTTCAGTGGGTGGCAGTGTGTCCTTAGGTCGCATCAGACAGCGCCATACTGTTGCCTGGGATCGATGGGTAACCTACTCTGGCGGGTTGTGACAGTCGAAAGACCGCCTCAGAAACTCCTTTAACGTAGGGAATGATCCTCCAGACTTCGGGTTACTGCTCATTTGGCCGTCGTCTGTGCGCTTGGTGCCTGCCACCCTCGGTGAAATGTCTGGGATAACCATTGGCTGCAAAGCGGTACCGAAGGTACAGTTGTCCGGCTCTTTCCTCTTCTAGCGTGCTGCAGTGAGTTTCGAATCATACCCCAACTGGCTCTTTCCCATTGCTGTAAAGGTGAAAACTGATGAGAGGGCCGCGATTTGTTCGCCGACCGACGCCAGACATCGACCCACCGACGCACCCAATCAGCCAAACGCGATTCACACATGCAACGCACATGATCAGCCCATCAGGTTATGGTAGAATGGTCCACGGGCACACGGACCTAGCAGCGACAACGACGGCCGGGCAGGGGCCAGAGGTCACGCGAGCGCCACAGCGGTCAGCCAGGGGGAGACCACAGCCAATCCCTCACCAGCAAGCAGGTCAGAGCTTGTGCATCAGGCATGCCTATAACAGGAGACAGACGGCGAGACAGAGAAACTCTGGGTTAGCAGAAACAAACACCTCACCACTGCGATGATGGAAACGAGGATGGTTCAGAGACGTCAACACCAATACAGTGTGATCTATGGAATCGCCTCTTTTTCTTCTTCGTCTTCTTTTGGGGATGATGTGCGAGACGGATGAACATATATAGAATGACTTCACCGACAAAGACGAGGGAGATTGGAATGGCCATTTCTGGCTCATTAGTCGTCGTCAGCCAGTCATAGCCAGTCCCAAAATGTGGAACACGTGGAGCTCGACCCTACGACCTGATAGTTAGAAGTCCAACGCCTCTAACCACTGAGCGACGGGCTCGTTGTCTTGTCGATTGCGATCGAGAATATACAATGCTAAGGGGGCGCCCACTGATGTTTTCTAGGGAACTCACTCGTCCCGTTGTGCCTTACGGACTCTCTCTCTCGAGCCCAACCAGCAGCCGCACAGTGGCGCATGATATAGGCGGAATGGTATAACTGGCGATGTGAAAACCAGAGCGATTTAACTGCCAGACGATTACTTCAGACGTTCTTTGCATATAAGGCAGGGAGAAGAATTGTCGGGACACAATTTCCCCGTTAAGGGTGGGACCTTGCGATTGTGCCTGGTGTCTGAGGCAGTTCTTTACAAAACTGGTCGATATCCGTTAGATTGAAACAACCGATACAGGCAGGCAAGCTCTTTCTTATGGAGATCGTCGCTGTTGCAATAACGATAGGCCTGGTGGAACAGAGTACGGACGCAGCTTCTTTTGTGAACCGCGGGGTAGTTGCTTCCATAATTAAGGATAATTTCAGAATTCTTTCCTGTAAACGGTCTTCGCGAGACGACCATCGCTCAGCCTTTGTATTCTCACGTCAAGAAACGGCACGCTGTCCCCTATTGCCCCTCCACGAGTAAACTCTATGGCCGGGGAGATATCATTTAGCCTCTGATGCAGCCGTTTAACTTCGCAGTTCTTTATTACGACATATGTATCATCTACAGAGTGAAGCCACACTTTGGGGCTGAGAGCTTGCCCTAATGCCACATCAACGGCAGCTAGTCCAGTCACCCGGAGTCCAATTGATCCAACATCCACCTTTCTCCTCCAGCATAGGGATCCGCAATTGTTACGCCTCCCCCTCTCCCTTCGCTAAGAGAACTAACATCCCTCTCATAGGCCAATAGTCTATCTGTCCTGTCCCGCTTACAAAACTAGTGTGGCAAACCAACTTTCTCCCTTGTTTTTAATTAGTCTGACGACGGATCGGTGTCACCAGCTCTAAAATTCGCGAGTACAACTCGATTTTTCCGAAAAACCTCTTCCTTTTTTCACACATATGTATATGTGTCAGGGGGGACACGACGCAGTCTTGGGGTAGGTCGATACAGCACTGGTTCAGGCTTGCCGTATACATATATACGAGTCCCCGGACATAAATCAGAAGAAAAGGCGATCTCGGGAACCATAGTTTTACTGTCCTGACGTTTCAAAAGCATACAAACTTTCATCGTCGGAGGTGAGTGTGGTATCGCGCCTCACAGTATTTATAGGTGGGTGACAGTCATGTCAAGACGGTTTTTTTTTCTTACATACGAAGTCAGGGCGTCAGGGAGGGAGGGGCGGGGAGGGAGTCCTAGAGCGTCTTCTCGCCGGATGAAGGGGACGGTGGATCAGCTTTAGTGGTCACCAGCGCCTGCACACAGGGACTGTGGCGGACGGGGGCGAGGGAGGGTGACGGGAAGTACTCAATCTACATCGGGGGCCGGCGTTGAAACGTTGGTGGTCGTCGTCCGTACCTTCATTGACCTTAACTCTCGTCC